CACTGGCCAGAGAACGTAGGACTCAGTACCATTACCCTTCCAGCGAGGCTACTACCAACTAACCAACCCGGAACGCTTTGTTAGACCGGCCAACCTGTGATCCTGATTTGGTCCCCAATCCGTGCGCGTCGCTAACGGTGGTGCCATTTAACTACCTTTACCAATGAGTGCACTTATTGATAATAATTGTTAGTATTTATGCAGGTTAATGCTCACCTCAAACCTCAGCAGTTCAGTTACTTTCAAAGAATTTGCTTTCTATCACAAACAAATCTCCAAAAACTCTAGCTCCCTCGCCAACAAAAACACATCCATCATAGCACATGAAGTCACAAATTATGTGCTCTGAAGTAGTCCAGTTCCCTGGAGGCCATGCTTCGTTCGAAGCGCTGATTCGAAGCGGCTCCATAAAAACGGTAATAAAAACAGAAAATAATAACAGTTCAGAGTTCACATTCTTATGTTCAGGTTTTGGGAAAACTCAACATGGAATTGCTCATTGCTTTCGAGGTGCTCTTGTTTTCTTCGAATGCGATGAACACTGGAATGCTTACCCGAACTGTATAGCTATTAACTTTTTGCAGGCTATTTATGTATATGGCTTTATTGACATACGTATGTTTACCATATTGTTTTGATCATGATATGTGTAAGAAGTAGCGAGCTTCAAATGCGGGCAAAGCAGCTGCTATAATGCAAAAATTAGATGCACAACCCAGATGTATTTAGAGATCTGTCAGCTCTTGTGTTCTTAACACGTTGACGACAGCGTGACGCGGTAACGCGTCCCACTTTGCGCACCTCGTGGGACATTGTGACGCGGTAACGCGTCCCACCCAAGTCATCCCTTTTTCTTGCGCTTGTGCGACTTATTCCTAAGGTCTTTGTACTCATTCTATAGGCCATACATTAGCATACTTAAAAACCACATGGCTCACAGAAAGGCCAAATATTCTTTAGTTTGGCAGAGCGAATACAAATCTATTCGTATGGAAAGATATGTGTTTTTACTGAAACAACCACTTCCGAATTAAATTTTGGAACCAATAAAGGGAAAGTAAGTAAAATTTGCCTTTCATGGCCTTAACACGTCATTTCGGATCAAACTTCC